TCCTTTGCTCCTAGTAGCGATGCCAGGAGCCCCTAGTAGCGTCCTTGTTCCTAGTAGTAAGGCCAGGAGCCCCTAGTAGCGTTCTTCAAAACATGTTTGTACAAATTGCGCTCAAACCAAAAAATACAACAATTTGGAGCGATTGTCAAGTCTCAAGACCCCTGAAGCTCTTTGAACTACATAGTCGTGCTGAACTTGGGACTGTGAAACTAGAGGCCTGGCCTTGCTCCTTCATTTCCGCCAGGCCTTTGGAAATCTCTCTGCCTGGAAGCGTAGGGCAGTAGCAATCTCTGCAACTTGTCTAGTCTTCTTACGTTAGTAGCTTCTTGTTACTAGTAACAAGTGCATCGCTACTAGTAACAAGTGCATTACTAAGAGTAGCAAATAGCTACTAGTAGCTTCTTTTTACATTGGGCGAAGCTTTGGCTTTGAAGGGGAAGAATGTCTCGGTTTTCGGTCCAAGCTCGCATGCTTCAAAGGCAAGGAATGAATGAGGACGAACTCGGACGAAAGGAAGAAAAAGTGGATGCGATTGAAACATGAAAAATGAGAATTGGAGCGAGAAAAAACGGAAAGGCTGCTATCGCCAGGCAATAGCCCAGCAAAACACGCAAACACTCATTGCACACATCGTTGACAAAAAGTCGACAATATCTTCCACAATTTCCGACATACTGCCATGCAATATATTGACATATGTCTGCGAACTTATCCTTGAAGTCGTCCATCACGAGTTCAAACGATTCCATGTTACCAGTGCTTTCAGCATCATCTTCCTAGAGGTTTTTCAAACCAATTTGGACGACCCAGCGCCCCATCCACCAATCCTTGGAGCTTTTCGGAGATGGAGATACGACTCGCTCGACGCCGTACACGGACGGGATCCATGATCCGGTGCAGCCTCGACAAACAAGCGAACTCAGCTAGCTTGTCGGTTGAAAGAAAGCACCCCGTTATAACGAAAGAAATCCTTGTCTTCACCCCACATGCATCACTGCGTCGTCAAGGACAAGGCAGGTTTGGTGGGAATGACATTCAACCACTGCGGCATAGACTGGTTGGTATACAAAATGATAGTCATTAGGAACAAGAAGCTACTAGGGGCTCCTGGCCTTACTACTAGGAGCAAGGACGCTACTATAGGGGCTCCTGGCATCGCTACGAACGGAACAAGAAGCCACACTGGACGCACATGACCCGCTGGCAATCTGTGGTCCGAACTTCTGGAGTAGTTCGACCTCACAGCACTTCTGTGCGTCCCAAAAATCGTCCAAATCAGGTCTGCCTTTGTTTAAACTCTTTTTACTGCCTTCATCTCATCGATGCAGCTGCTCACAGTGTCGTTCACCTCCTGAGCAATTCTAAGCTTCCCTGGCTTCCTTGAATAAGGATGAGTCCATGTCCAGGAGCGTACTACTTAATAGCTACGTTTCTTGCTACCTCTTCTAGGGGCCTACCCCCCAGGCTAAAAAAGAAACCCTAGACATGTTTACTTACTAGTAGCTTCTTGTTCCTAGTAGCGATGTACCTGTTACTAGAAAGGCTATGTTTTGCTATTCAATCCTACGGTGATGAGCAAAAGCGACGTGTCATGACGCTCCTTCTGCATCTCTGTCTGCGCACGGTGGCGCGGAGGCGTAGGCTCTGCGTAGGTATCCATCGCAAGAGAACCACCCAGAGAGGGCGTGAAATGTCAAATGAAAGAGAAAAACAAAAGTTTAAAAGATAGAATAAAGACTCAAGACACATAAACAGAAATGAAATGAAACGAAATGAAATATGAACACCGGAGTGACGCTTAAGAAGTGTCTTGTACCTTTTGCAACACAGGTGACAGCTCTTCTCGCAGATCGCTCGTGGAATTTGGAATTGGTCCGATCCGAGATGCCTTGTGCCGGATGAGCTCGTGGCACTTGTTACTAGTAGCGATGCACTTGTTCCTAGTAGCGAACATTGTTTTTAATAAAATAGATTTAAGAAATATATGGTGTTTACTTCTTTAGCCCGCTCCCCTCCCTCCCTATTTGATTAAGTAAGGGAGAGGTAGCTAGTACCTTACTTAAGCTACTAGCATGGACGCAGGATAGCTCACGCACTATTCATTAGATCTTTAGGGAAACTGAACAAATCGGACTTCCAAAACGAAGGCTACGGCCGAATGTTCGCCTGACTCCTTGAAATTCCCCGCTGTCCGAGCGAGCAAACCTTCATGTGGCACATACGGTTGTGAACACAAAAGCTTTGGAGATCTGAAGAAAGAAAGGAGTAGCAAGTGCATCGCTTCTAGTAACAAGTGCCTTACTACTAGGAACAAGTGCATCGCTACTAGGAACAAGTGCATCGCTACAGATTGTAGAAAAGGTAGATAAAGAAAAGGACGAAAACAGCATGCGGGCATGCCCAGTCTTTTTCAGGTTCGTGCCTGGACAAGGTAAGCCACCAAGTGGGGAGGGGGAAGGAAAAGGCGTTTATCCGTGAATCCTATTTGGGGCGGATTGGAGATGGGCACACCATGAAGAATGTAAAAAGGGAAAGAAAACACAACATAATTAGTCCTAAAGGCCTAAAGCTTTATTTTGCTTTTGGGCACAAAAAATGCTACTGGTACCTTCTCTTCATGCGCTTCATACTTTACTCTTTCTCTTATAGAATGTGTGCTTAGGGACAAATAGAGTTGTCAGTGATGGCTTCGCCAAAAACAATTTCTTCTTGAACTGGATAGTCATAAAGTGCAAATGCATTCAGCGGATGAAGGTCGTATTTTCCTACTTCCTCAAGTGGTTCTATGGTTGCCAGGCAAATAGGACTTGTAGGATGGAAACCCCTGAGCAATTTAGTTCTCGAGGGCGAAACATAATTCAATTTCGCTTGCAGCGTGTACCTCCTTTTCATGACCCTTGCTCCGCCCCTTCTTTGGAGACGTTCCATGCACAGCCATGAGCTACGAAACAGGTGATGCACAAGCAAGTATGGTTTGTACAGTCCACAACCATTGAGAGGCCTATTTGAATTCCTGGTGAAAACAAACACTCTCAAGCATCTTCAATATTGTTAAACTGTATCATCCAGAATGACCATATTTACTAAATTACAAGAATCACCAGGAACCCGCTTTTTGCGTTGCCCGAAAGCAGGTCATGAAGCTGTCACAACTCTTTGTCTCCATAGCAAGGGCAAAACCTTCGTCGAATGAGAGAACACAAAGAAGCTGAAGAAAACAAAAAAAAGGAAAAAGGACATAGATGCAGAAGAGAGCCTCCTTAAAGAAGCATTACCTTCCTTTGTCATCTCTGTTTCTCGTTTTGAGAGGAATGAGACACAACGGTCTTCGCCTGTAGGTTCCGGAGTCACCGACTGTTGAGCAGCGTGACGACCTGAGATGCGGTTCCGGATCACAAAGAAGATTCATCTTGGGAAAAAAAATTCGTTCGTAGCGTCCTCTTGCTTTCTAGTAGTAAGGCCACGAGCCCCTAGTAGCTTCTTGTTACTAGTAAGGCACTTGTTACTAGAAGCGATGCACTTGTTCCTAGTAGCGTCCTCTTGTTCCTAGTAGTAAGGCCACGAGCCCCTAGTAGCTTCTTGTTACTAGTAAGGCACTTGTT